ATTTTATATTTATAATTATTTGTTCTACTTTTTATAATATGTTATTAAAACATAGTTTGAATGAGAAGGTAATTTCTTATAATTATTACCGTATTTACCCATGTATAAGCTGCTCTCCTAGATAAGCCGCATCCCGAGTTTAGGAACGTTTTTGAGGTAAAAAAGGAAAATAAACTTTTCTGTTTTTGATTGCCACTTGCGAACACAGCTTTCTTTGATTTTAAAGTGCTATTCCACTGCTCGATTTCCGTGATCCATGCATTTCGTATGCAATTACAATTAGTTTATTTAACGTGCGGTTTATGATGATCTTGGAGACATACATGTAATTGTTAAGATTGATAATTGATACTATATTTAAAAAGTTGTTTTCCATTCAAAAGGCAAAAGCAAACTTACTAGTAATTAACTTGAGTGATATAAATCTCATCGTGCCGCCAAACTTCTAAGCTTAAGGATACGCCGAAACTGTTTCGTATTTCAAAAAAAAAAATATTAAAACAGATTGTATTTGTTTAATATAAGCAACAATTTCTTAGGCTTATTTCTTGGGTATTCAAAATATTTACCCTGAATTCTTCACTTTAAGTTTGACAAAGTCGCTTAAATGAACAGTGCAAATTAGCATCGCGTTACTAAAACAACTTCAAGACAAAACAATTGAAAATGCTCTCTGTTCATTTAGCTCAATAACCACATACTTTTCAGTTTGATTTATTGACTTGTGTTTCTCAGAGCTAGATTTTCGGAGAATTTATAGTTATGTAATACTGAGAAGTTTGGATTAAAATTTCTCTGTTCCCGCCGTGTAAAACAAACTTATCACATTCCTGATGTCCTGTCTGCAGTAAGTAGCACCGTGAATGCTAATTTATGCAAATTAATTTTTATCGGGCATTTTTACAAGTCTTCTCGTAGATAAGCCGCACCCCCGATTTGGGAACGATTTTTTTGGAAAAAAAGTGCGGCTTATACATGGGTAAATACGGTACTTGGATTGATCTGATTGAGTGAAATAAACTTTTGATAGATAAAATACATCCTTTAGAATAAATTGTTGTCAATTCCGTTATTAGACAAGTGATGACTTACAGAAAAGAGGTGCGTTCATCTCCACTTGTCCAGTTTGCCATGGGCATTTTCAATGCTCTGAACAGCAACAATTCTGTGCGATTTTTCAGG